GTCATTTTCTCATCGGAAACTAAGACAGCTTTAAATCTGGCATGTTCTCTGATATGATCCAAACATAAAGCAGATTAAACTCGTAGAAAGTTCCTATTAAAAGCTTGTTTTCTGATGCTGGGTGCGCCAGACGTGAGCAGGATGGAGGGAGAGAGAAAGGGGGAAGAGCAGTGACTCCTGCTGCTGGGGGTGGGGGGCTGAGGCTGAGGAAGGGTGGGAGAAGAGAAACGCGTAATCACCCAAACATCCGCTGTTTTCACCCCCTCTTCTGGATCTGCGCGGAAAGGTAAGAGTGGGGGGAAAAAAATGCGTTTTTAAGTGCACGGCCAGAGTTTGTGCTGGAACTCCTCTCCTCTCCTCTCAGAGTCCTGCTGCAGTCTGCAGGGAGGCTGCCGGGGACCAAGGACCGGGGTGGGGGAGGCCGGACCACGAAAGAGACACCGGAAAGAATGGGTAAATAAACTTATTATTTTTTAATTGTTCCGCGTAAAGCAGACGGGCTGCTCCTTCTTTTAATTAGCCGGTTTTATCTCGAAGTGTCTGAGGACAGTGGTGGCACACGCGCGTCTTCAGGATAGGAAGGATTTCATATGACCGCTGAAGTTGCGCAGCCTGGGAAAAAAAAAAAAAAAAAAAAAAACGAGCTGTTTGCGTCAGCATCCAATCAGAGGTGCGTTTACACAACCGGCAGGAGACTTGTGCAGCCTATGGCGCAGTCCCCGGGCTTCATCTGCACCAATCACACACGCTGGAAGCATTCTTTTTTCTCTTCTTCTCGTGTCTCTGAAGACAAGTCAGTGGATCATTTCTACCTGTTTAGTTTCGTCTTCTGTGACAACCAGAATTCTTACAGTGTTTAACTTCATGCTTCTTTTCTTTTCTTTTCTTTTCTTTTCTTTTCTTTTCTTTTCTTTTCTTTTCTTTTCTTTTCTTTTCTTTTCTTTCTGCTTAGACTCAGTTGGATCAGTTGACTGCCTGACCTATATACCTATACTAAATGTTTTCATTTTTAGAAACAAGATTGCACATTTGTTCAAGAAAGACTAAGTTGCTAATTGCGTGGTCTGAAAGTTAATCTTGTAGATTATAGGTAGGTTTCCTTTGGTCACTTTATGAGGACTATTAATTAACCAGTGATTTAACCAGAAATAATTTTCCAGTTGTGTTTGATAGAAAGTGACTGGATCACTGAAGTTTTAGCAAATACGGCACAATTAGAACAATAATGTGTTTGATGTATTGTCCCTGCTATCCAGTAGCTCCCAAACTTTTCAGCTCCTGAAGAGGAAATTCCACCTCTGTATTCGAGGAGGTCAGTATGAGGAAGTTTTTTTATGAGCAAATTTTAGGGTATCACATAAAATACAGTCAAATGCACAGTTGTAAAATGAAGCTGTTCTTCATGTAATCAACTAGTAAACCTATAGTGAATTTACATAAACTAAAATAAATTAGAGTGATGAACATCCATTTCCACCATCACCCCACCAATTTTTGTCTCTTTCTGGAGCTCAATTCAGCTTCGGTCATGTGGACTCAAGCTTATTCTTTTTCTGTTTTGACAAAAATATCAGACCATTTAAGAACATATAAAGATCTGACATGCATAAATCCATCCTGACACTTTAATAAAAT